TCCCTGTGTAGATACTGCTAGGTTGATGGAAGAATTCTTCAGTGGACCTAGCTACTGCTTCTCAGTGGGGCGCATTAGCTATGCCAACAGGAGAACCTCCTCTGTCAACATAAGTAGTGTCTATGCCAGTGGTTCTCAACCCATGGCTCACTTGCAGCCCAATCAGCACACAGCTGTGGCCCATGTGACATCCTCTGGGCCACACAGGTGGTGTATATATATTATGTGCAAAAAGAAAAGGAGTACTTGTGGCACCTTAGAGACTAACCAATTTATTTGAGCATGAGCTTTCGTGAGCCACAGCTCACTTCATCAGATGTGTACCGTGGAAACTGCAGCAGACTTTATTACCGTGGAAACTGCAGCAGACTTTATATATATAAAGTCTGCTGCAGTTTCCACGGTACACATCTGATGAAGTGAGCTGTGGCTCACGAAAGCTCATGCTCAAATAAATTGGTTAGTCTCTAAGGTGCCACAAGTACTCCTTTTCTTTTTGCGAATACAGACTAACACGGCTGTTCCTCTGAAATATATTATGTGGTTGCAGTCCACATAACACACAGACAGCTGCATATATGGCCCACAACGATAAATAGGTTGAGAACCATTGGTCTACACTGTAATGTTCCAAGTGTGGCCAAGCCCTAGAAGTGCTTTGCCAGCATAGTATGCCAGTAAAGGGCTCCTAGTGTAGTTGTCGCCTTAGGCCTGGTCTACACTTAAAAATTAGATCATCCTAGCTACGTCGCTGAGGCCTGTGAAACATTCCACATCCTAAGCTGGGGTGGACAAACTTTTTGGTCCGAGGGCCACATCTGGGTATGGAAATTGTATGGCGGGCCATGAATGCTCTCAAAATTGGGGGTTGGAGTGCGGGGGGGTATCCGGCTGGGGGTGCAGGCTCTGGGGTGGGGTTGGGGGTGCAGGAGGGTGCTCTGCACTAGGACCAAGGGGTTTGGAGGATGTAAGGGGGATCAGGGCTAGGGCAGAGGGTTGGGGTGCAGGAGGGGGGAAGGGGTGCAGGCTCTGGGCGGTGCTTACCTCAAGCAACGCCCAGAAGCAGCAGCAGCATGTCCCCCCTCCAGCTCCTACACGGAGGCGCAGCCAGGCAGCTCTGCACACTGCCCCGTCCGCAGGCGCCACCCCTGCAGCTCCCATTGGCCACAGTTCCTGGCCAATGGGAGCTGCAGGGGCTGCGCTTGGGGTGGAAGCCACATGCAGAGTCCCCTGGCCGCCCCTATGCCTAGGAGCTGGCGAGGGGGACATGTTGCTGATTCCAGGAGCCACACGGAGTGGGGCAAGTCCTAGGCGGGAGCTTGAGGGCCAGATTAAAATGTCTGGAGGACCGGATGTGACCCTCAGGCTGTAGTTTGCCCACCCCTGCCCTAAGCGCTCTAGTTAGATCAGCATAACCACCCATGCCCAGCCCTGCGCAGGTTGGCAGAATTCTGCCACTGACCTAGCTACCGCCCCTCAGGTAGGTAGATTACCCACACAGATGGGGAGAGCCCATTCCCATCAACATAGGGCACAGCCACACTACGGTGCTACCCGCAGCTGTGCCGCTGTATCTAGGGTAACCAGACAGCAAATGTGAAACGTCAGGACGTGGGTGGGGCGTAATAAGAGCCTATATAAGAAAAAGACCCAAAAATCAGGACTATCCCTATTAAATCGGGACATCTGGTCATGCTAGCTGTAGTGCGGCCATGCCCTTAGGACCTGGGTTTCTGCTTTAAAGGGCTCCTTCGGCGTCAGACGCTGCCCTAGCCAAAACAGACGGGGAAGAGACTCACTGGCCCAAGGCAGGACTCTGCAGGGCCCAAGGAGCCAGGGTGGGGCAGTGTGGGGAGCCTGAAATTAGAGGAGTTAGGGCCAGTGGGGAAACTGAGACCCATGGGTGCGGGGGTCCAGGGAAACACGGGTCGCACCTCGCTGGAGCAGACGGGGGAATCCGAGCCGCCTCATGAGGCGCAACGCGCCGCGTACGCTGGCCCGGGAAAGACCCGCCCTTGCCTGGCCCGCGCTAGTGCTGCCCGGCGGCCGCCGCTCCCTGAGCCCGCCCGCGCCGCGCGCACAGTAACCGTCCCCTGCCCCGCCCCCCGCAGGGGCATAGCGCACCTCCCCTTGGCCCGCGCGCCGACCGCTTTCCCGCCTTTTCCTCTCACGCTGTCGACGCGCGCGCGCCTTCCTCGGAACGGGGGCCGTGTGCATCGTAACCGGCTCCCCCCTCCCCCCCCCACTCTTTCCTTGCGCCCATCAGGGGGCCGTGTGCAAAGGCTTCAACGCCTCTTTGCCTTACACCTCAACTGACTTCAGCGCCGCTGATCCCTCCGCGAAGGGCCCTGTGCCAAGAGCCCGCGCTGCCTACCCCAGCTCCTCCCCAAGCTGCCTTCTCACCACGCCCTGGGGCTAGGGTGCAAAGCCTGCCGCCTTTCCCTATGGTACCGTTGTTCCCCCACCTCCACTTTGTGTGGGGCCAGGTGCAAAGGCTCGTCGCACCTTCTTCCCCTCACACTTTTGCCTCCCCACTACCCTAGGGTCACATACATAGGCCTGGTCTACGCTGAAAAATTAGATTGCCCCAGCTGCATGGCTCCGGGCCGTGAAAAATTTTGCGCCCTGTGCTCTGATTTAAGGTCGCCCTAACCCTCTGGCGCAGCCAGATTAACCACAGCAGTGGGAGAAGCCCTTCCACCCATGTCGGAAGTGCCTATGCTATGGCGCTGCAGGGACACCGCTGTGGTGTGGACAGAGCCAAAGGCTCGTTCTTTTTCTTCTCCTGCTATCGCCTCCATCTGTCTGCCCCGTCGCACCACGTGCAATGGCTCTTCCTCGTGCCCCATTGCCTCCCATCCAGCGCCACTTGCAATACGCTTTCCCGCTCTCTAGTCATGGCCTCCTGCACCCCTCCTAGGGCCATGTCCAAAGACTCCACACCTTTCCCCTTCCCGCTGCTATCCTAGACTTCACAGAGGCTGGCCTGGGGAAGGGAAACTGGGGTTGCAGTTCGCTGGAAGAGGGGGAATCTGAGCCCACTCATGGGGATATGTGTAAAGCACAGAGCCATTAAAACACCCACACTTGTGTAATGGTATTAGACTCATATTCTGTAATAGTTACAGACTGTAGGACAACAGGATCATGAAAACATTAGATCATATTGGATAGTCCCTCTCATAGGGTGTATACACGATAGGACAGACAGACACAAGTACAGCCTAATAAATATGGCAATTTCTGAGGGAAAGTATTAAGAGAGGAATATATTCCATGTTGTTTTTTCATCGTTCTGCATTTCTTTGCCAGAAATGGAATTGGGGGGTTTTTTAAACTATTTTTGTGACCTGTATTTTGAAAAATATTTATTGTGCAATATTTAAAAAACAATAACATCTAAGTTAAAAATTTAACTAGCCAATTATCAAGCCTTGTCTTTCAGGTTTTGCTTTTATTTAGTAAAAAAGGACAAAAATATCAAAGTTTCCACAAATAAGCACTCTAATTAAGTGTCCTTTACTGTCCTGGTGCTATCTACACAATATTGTACCGACACTGATCACCACAAACTAAAGCTTCTGTGGGAAGTAATGCATGCAAAATCTTACAATCAGCCTTTTAAGTAAGTTTTGAGAAAACATCTTTGATTGTCATTTAACAATACATAATTTTAAATTAATAAAAACCTCATACTGATAGATTATACTCGCTGTTATCCCAGTACAATTCTTGGGGAATTAACATACTAAGACATTAATTACCAAGAAACCCAGGAAGCAGGACAAGATAGAACACCTAACGTAGGTTCTGAATTATCATGCATGCATCTTTCTGTAATACATCACCTACCAAGATTATAACATGAGTATTGTCAACCCCAAGCATTCAAAAATGATGAGTCATGCCCCCACCCAAAATCATGAGATGAAAAATACATTTGGGGTGCTTTTTATTTGCCTTCTGATCTTTGAGCCTGTAGGGTCACTTGTATCACATTTTCAACCTTTTATCCACAACCATGAGCACTAGAAACACATTTTAAAAAATAAAAAGAAGGCTGAGAGTCTCACATAATCACAAAACTCCACGATCTTTGAGAAAAAACACCAACTGTTGTGATACGTGGGATAAAATTTTGAGATTATTTACTGCCAGTAAATCTGGCATTTAACATTGACTTTGATGCCATAGTACATCATATCATTAGGGTTGCCAGCCCTCCAGGATTGTGCTGGAGTCTGCAGGAATTAAAGATTAATCTTTAATTAAAGATTATGTCATGTGGTGAAATCTCCAGGAATTCGTCCAATGCATCATACATCATATCATACATCATGTCCAAGTGTTTTCAGGTGTGTTTTGAGGTTCTTAAAAACCTGAGCATTAAAAAATGGCATTTTTGGCAAATTAAAAAGCAACAGTTTCACTTGCAAAACCTTGAGAAACTTGATTATAGAAAGGTTCTCAAACTTTCTGAACTATCTATCTCGGTAGTTATATGGCCTCCATCATTACAAAAATTAGCATCTATTCATAGAGTGGACCATACCTTAATAAAGAGATTGTTTTGAGGACACATCTCCTTCAATTTGTGAACACATGCCCCACCTCCACTCCTGTTTGTGACACTAATAGCAATTGCCTACATAGGAAAGTAATATTAGATGCTTTCCTAATATGTTTTTAACTTCTTTTAACGAAACAAGGAGAACCAGTATCATGTGACTAGTTGGCTGAAGTAGTTGGTGTAGATGATTTTCTGAAAGCAACTCCAGGCTGGTTAGGGAACATGAAAGCAATATGTCAAGAGGGCTATAACTAGCACTCATGAAGTTTTATAGCAAGCAAAAAGAAAATGAGTACTTGTGGCACCTTAGAGACTAACCAATTTATTTGAGCATAAGCTTTCGTGAGCTACAGCTCACATAAACTGGTTAGTCTCTAAGGTGCCACAAGTACTCCTTTTCTTTTTGCGAATACAGACTAAACACGGCTGTTACTCTGAAACCTGTCATATAGCAAGCAGTGATTCTTCTTACAGTAGTTTTTTGTTCTTGCATTTAACAGGTCTTTTGGGGTCCATCAAGTTTGTATGATTCAAGACAGGACTTATTTATTGAAGACTACAGTTCTTTGGGGAACTCAGAACAAAATGAATTTAAAAGCATGTTTGACTCTTCATTCCTGCCCACCAGGATTAAGTCTATTTTTCACATCAGTGGATAGCTGGCAAATGAAGCTATTCCACAAAGGTTGCCTCTGTTTTTTGCCATCCGGATATAACCTTGATCACCCCATCTGGTTCCCCAGCTGCAGAAGAGAAACAAAAAATATATATGTGTTTTTATATATAATGTTAAATCTTAATACAGGTTCCCTGGTATTTTTTGTTTTGGGAGGGGGGGTCCTATCGACTTTTTATAGTATGACCATCTTAGCAGGGCAAATCTTGTTACTGCTGTTCCTGACACAAAATTTAATTGTTACAGTTCCTTTTCAGTTGTGGCTGAGTGGAAACTAGAGATGCAGAGCACTTTTACAGATCAGAGTCTGAATGTTTTATAAAAGGAGAGGTCTCCATGAAAAGCAAGATTTTAAATTAAGCATAAATAAGCCTTAGCAAAAATAAAAGTGTGCTCCTAGAACTCAGAATGCAGCACTTCTCTGAAACCATTGCACACTAGAAGTGTATTATAAATAATAAGAAATACAAATAAGCATACCCAGAATTCACTTTGCAGACAGGGATGTATCAATAAACACATAATTGTTATCTTTGTCAGAACACAGATACCCTGTTAAAGCTCAATAGTTGGGTAATGGTAATAAGCTCACATCCACACTCAAAGAAAGACTAAAAATGGGGAAAAGACTTCCACAACCTTTTTGAAAAGAGTACCGGGCATGCCCATTAGTTTCATAATTATTATCTGTCTGGTTTGCATTTGAGAATTTTGCAGAATTATCTCATATTTTACTTCAGACCCACACAATGTATTTATTTCCTCTTTGCAGGCCACTAGTCCAGCAATACATCAAAATTATTACGCATTGGAAATCATTTAAAAAACATAATGTCAGAGTTCAGGGCCAAAATCTAGGTCTATAATAAATCATATGAATACATGTTTTTGTAATTGAAAAAGTTCAGTGAAATTTCAAGTAAAATTAAATGTATACACTTGTCTTCTGGAATGAACTATTCCTCTCTGTTTTTGAAACTCAAAGTCTTTAACCTTGTGCTGGTCCATGAGAATCAGAAAGCAAAACTGATTAGAGAAAGGGAATGAAATTAACTAAACTAGTTTGTGTCAAGCTGCCTGTCATGTGCAAAACCTAAACAGAATTAATAGTGAAAAGTAAATTAGAATTTTAAAATATTCTTTTATTTTTAATAATCAGAGATATGGCTAACAGAACAGTTAAAGACTTTTAAAACATATTTTATTTATTTTGATGCTGTCCTTGTAAAGTACTAAACCAGTTCTTTAAGATGAAATTATATTTTAAAGAATTTTTAGTAAAGGTATTTTAATTAAAGAAAACTCATCCTTACCTGTTTTTGACGAGCCAGTATGGCACACCTTTGTCCACACAATATCCCACAACAAGAACGGCATGGTTTAAACGTGAGGAACTGCATTCTGAGTCGTAGTACACACCTGAAAATGTTTTATTTATTTATTTATGAAACAGCAGTGCCCAGAAGCCCCAATCAGGAGCATTGTGCTCCTGTGATAGGCATTGTATAAACGCATAGGAAGACAAAGTCTCTGTCCCAAAGAGGTTACAGTCTAAAGCCCCAATTCTGCAATGAGTTCCACACAAGTACAAAGGTACACCCATGTGGAGCTCATTGCTGGACTGTGGCCTAATTTAAAACAAGAGCTAATGAATGAGTATATAACTGTAGGACAGAAGTGGGGAGGGAGGACAAGGGTGACAGTTCAAAAAAACCAATGGTTGCATAGGTTAACTATATATACCACTTAAGGTTTCTAAATCATTTAAAAGAGAGATGTAAAAATGATATAAAACAGAATAAAGATACAATTGGCAAATCTGCATTTGATTTTGAAACCATTTTCCTAAAACAGGTAACAGGTCAATGGGTTGCTGTTTTGGAAACCTGAACCTCACAGATACAGGATATACTGTTTCACCAATGCTGTAAATGGAGGTAGCCTCATCACTTAGTCTAATCAAAAACAATTTGGGAATCTGACCCTGTAATCCTTTCTTATGTGAAGTTGATGGATCTACTTCTAAATCGGCTTTGCAGGACCAGATGTTAAGATGAATTTTTTTAAGTTCCCAAGCTTCTCTCACTGCTGGAGCACATACAGGAAGATGATTGATTGGTTTCCTTACATCTTTTCCTCAAGTCAGAGAGCCCCTAGTATATCAGCAGAATTATTTCTAAGTAGGATGTTTCCCCACCCCCAATAATTTAATAGAGTCATAGATTCCAAGGCCAGAAGGAATCACTGTGATTATCTAGTCTGACTTCTTGTATAACACAGGTTGTAAAACTTCCTCAGAATAATTCCTAGGGCATATCTTTAAAAAATAAAAATCCAATCTTGATTTAAAAATGGTCCATGATGAAGAATCCACCATGACCCTTGATAAGTTGTTCCAATAGTTAATTACACTCACTTAAAAATGCATGTCTTCTTTCCAGTCTGAATTTGTCTAGCTTCATCTTCTAGTCATTGGATCTTGTTATACCTTTTCCTGCTAGTTTGAATAGCCCATTATTAAATGTTTATTCCCCATGTAGATATTTACAGAATGTAATCAACTCACCCCTTAAATTTTCCAGGGCTGCTCTTCGATCCTGAATCAGCAAACCACTTACTAGCATGTACTTCACTTTAGGCATGTGAGCAGTGTGACAGACTGACATGTACAAACTTTATTGAATTAAGTTAAACCTTACTGAATTATGTTTAACATATTTGGAGTTGTATTAAAAATGCAAATATGTATGCACTATTGTGGGATTGTATGGAACTTCAAAATACTTTTTGGAACACTACTTGTAAAGTGAATTTCCTAGACTGTACTTGAGAGGAGGGAAATGCAAATTATCCCCTCCTGAGCTTGCCTATTGAAGCTACACCCTGGGGAGAGACCAGTTACCTACTCTTGGAAACTCCAGATGAAGGACACTGCACCTTATAAAAAGTGGACTAAACACATTATGAGAGCACTTGTTCTGAGCTGAAGCTGTGATGAACTTGTAGCCCAAGGAATCCACTTGGGTCAGAATCTGAATGACTGCTTCTGCCAGAATCTATGTTAGGGTTGTTGGGGTGAATTCTGGTGAGCTTATTAATATGCATGTAGGTTCTTTTATTGTTTTTTATGTGTTTTCTCTGTAATGCTTTTTACTGTAAAAATAAAATAGGCTTGCATAGGAAGAACTGTGTGGTACTTATAACTTTTGACAATCATTCTGTTATCAAGAAGTAGGTGCCTTAGGTGCCACAAGTACTCCTTTTCTTTTTGCAGATACAGACTAACACGGCTGCTACTCTGAAATTCTGTTATCAGTCTCTGAAGAGAAAGCAAGCAGGTATGGTTGGGGAGCCTATTTCTTCTGGGAATAATTAAGTGAAGGCAGGGAACTGTGTGCATCCTGGAAATAACCCAGTAAGAAGGGAGAGAGACATGTGTCTGCACCCAAGAGAGGCAATGGCTGGGGAGCTGGAAGCTTGAGAATGGTACCCTTGCTAGACCATTGAGGAAAAATACAGATGCAGTTGCCCTGAACCGTGACAATTAGTTCTGTTCATTTCAGTGGAGCTATTCACATGCTTGAAGTTAGGTTTGTGTTTTGTTGATTCAGGGTCTTTGTCTCTAATTTTGTTAAGAACTATTTAGGTCTCAGAAAATACAGGGAAAGAGAAAACTGCTTACCACTGTGGTATTGATGGAAGGATCTCAAACTTGCATCTATAGCAACAGATACTGGTCCCACTGAAGCCACTGTCCTTTCAAGATAAGTTTCATTTCCCTTAGGTATGCTTTTATAGCTGACACAGGTGGCAGCCCGTCCAGAAGTTTTATAACGGCAATTCTTGTTCTGTAGAAGGTGGCAGACAGAGATATAAGGGCACAATAAGTATGGCAAGTAAGTTAATGCCAAGTTATATTATCATCTTCATTAATTAACAGAATCCTGTAACAGCCCAGAGGTATATAACATACTGGTTTATTCAGATCTGTTTGTGTGTTTTAGTTCCTTTCCAGTAATTTAGCTCATCCCAGAAAATAGAACTTACTTTTTCACTGTACACAGTGAGTGAGGTAATATCTTTTATTGGACCAACTTCTGTTGGTGAAAGAAACAAACTTTTGAGCCACACAGAGCTCTTCTCCAGGTCTGGGAAAGGTAATTAGAATGTCACAGCTAAATACATGGTGAAAGAGATTGTTAAGGATAGGGAGTTAACACATGAAGAGGAAGTGGGCAATTAACAATTTATCATGGGACCAACACAGCTACAACACCACTGCGAACAACTTGTTCACTGTACACACATGTACTAGCTTGACACACTCCATCCAGTAAATGCCAGTACAGAATATATGTATTAGCCGATATATTACAAAATTATCTGACTCTGTGGTATGCTGGTATATGAAATGGCACCATTATTTCCAGGGCCCCATGAACAGGATGGATATAAATTCTGATTCAGTGGCATGGTTTCCTACTTTCTGTGGCACTGACACTGAAAATGTTGCCACAAATACAGGTAACATTCAAAATGTGGTGTTTGATACAATTTAATTAAATGAACAATGTCAACTTCAAAACAATCGCTCTTCTGTCCGAATTGTTTTAAACCCGTTGTTACAAAAGGAAACACCTGAAATTACTATAATTGTAAAAGATCTCAGAAAAAAAGATTTTTTTCTATTTTACAGTTTGTTTGCTTTGCACATTTGTCAGCTCTTTATGTGTAGTCTGTTTCACAGTTTGCCCTGTATAGTCAGTTACCCCTGTTGTTTGTGTGAATCTTTCACAGAGCAACAAGACTGACAAAAAGCATTTTTAAAAAATAGGAAAATGATTGCAAAACCACAAAAATTGGCAGGTGGCCTCACGCAGCTAGCTTATCTGATCTTATCATTATATTAAATTGAATAGAATTCAGGTAGATGGTGCTCCTTTAAATATGAAAATATACTAGACAATAGTACAATATCCCTGGTGTTTATTTAAATATTAAATTCAATCTTATTGATTTTCCAGTGCTTTGCACCAAGCTTGTTTCTGCTCTCACACGAGTTTTAAACAAGAGTAACTCTCCTGAGTTCAGTGAATTTACTGTTGGTTTACACCAGGGCAACACAGAGCAGTATCATGCCTGTCTTCTGTAGTCATCTATACCTGTGCAAAGTCAGTATTAAGTTGGCATACAATTCTACCAGATCAAAAGGACATCACTGTACACCCAATTTGCATTGACTTCGAACAGTTGCAAATGACTACACAAGGTGCAAGGCAGTGGAAAATGAGGTCCAGTTTATTTGGCTCCCCCACTGCATTTTCAGTTTTCAGTATGCAACAGTGTTTGGTTTTTTTAAATTAATATCACATAATTGCATGGTAGAAGTTGTCAATAGGAAGCTGGAAGTGTTGGCAGCTGGCTAGTGAACAGCTTTGGGGTTTGGACACTCCAAAAGTTGTGGGAAACAGTTGAAGATTGTGAAAAAAGCATATTAGCTACATATGTTTGCTAAAATAATCAACAGTGAAATAGTTAATGCTTATTTAAATTGCCATAATTATGAATGAAGTGGTTCACACTTCTCTGGGAATTGTTCTTTCAAGCACTCTGCAGACTCAGGAAGACAACACGGTATTAGGATTACACTTGGGTCCTGTTTGGAAGGTTTTATAAACATATAGAATTTTTTTTTGTTGTTGTTGTTAAATGAAAGTTTATATTCTGGAACCCAGATCTGTGGTAAGGAATGGATTCTGCTGCAAATTTTGCAGCCACAAAATTGTGGAATATTCAAGGCCCTAATTTTTTCTAGATGATGTTAAAAAAAGACATCACTGTGTGTTTAAATTGAGTTAAAATATGCAGCAAGCAAGAAGGAAAAAACCCAAATATATTAATATGTTAATATAACCATAGTATAAAGTAGAGGTTTGAGTCCTCCCCCTGATTTGTCTTTTAGATAAAACAGTTTATGGTAAAATACAGACTTTTCCAATGTTTTTCCTCCCCAAAGAAACAGCTCTGGCTAAGGTGATACTCACCTGACCTTCATATGGATACGACGTTTCTGAGTCAATGCCACGGTTGTTCATAACATATCTGAAAGCTTTAGTCATAAAGCCTCCATTGCAACCATGGTTGCCATATCTCCAGGAGCAGTCTACTAGGTTCTGGGGACTAAGTGACACCAAACGCCCTGTTTTCTTCTTCAGTTGTCCTTCCAAGGCCCCCACGGCACTGAAAGCCCAACAAGAACCACAAGATCCCTGTGGCACATTGTAAGGTTCAACAACAACAAAAAAGGAGAAACGTTATGGCAGGTGTCATTCATAGTTTAATTATACATTTAAGACAGCAACACTGAGGTAACTCCACCGGCATTATTCCTGATTTACAGCAGCATAAGTGAGAGAAGAGTGAGGGACACAATGCAGTTGTGAGATAGGTATCTTTAACGGACTGAGAAGTAAATATAGCTAGTCTACTTGCAATTCTTGGAGACATATAGCTTCCATAAAATGAGTTTGATAACAATTTTTGCTAACCCAACCCATGAAACAGTATGAATTGGATACATTAAGTATTGGAATGATAAGTCTTAGTTGAAAATGGGTTATGCAGCTTTTCAGATGACAGTTAAAATCCAGTCAATGGCAACAGTGACATTTTTTTTTCTGTGCAATGGCTATTCAGTGTCTTATGTGAATTGGGCCAGATTCCCCAGGTTCTTTTGCAGCACAAAGCGGCCTTAAACCAGCCAGAGATTTTCAACAAAGAATTCTCCTTGTGTAGGAGGAATGTCTGCTGATGAAGAGCTGGATGGTATAGCTGCCTCCCCAACCCCATGAAAGGGGCAAGAGGCAGCGTAGTGGAGCTGAACTCCAGTATGGCTAATGATCCTATGCATAAAGGGTCTTATTCCTTCAGTGCCATCCTTTACACAACAACATAAATTAGAGCAGGATCCAGCAGTCCTGATTCAAGGTGGCACAACTATCTCCCTGCAACCACCACTCTTCACTACATTCAAGCACTGCTCGGGTGTAGTGCAAATCAGTGCCATTGAGTTTAGTGACCTCGGTCCAGTTCCTAGCTGATAGGTGTCCACCCCACAAAAAACACTTCCATGTTTGATACTGAGATCAACCATCCCCTCTCCTTTCAGATCAGGGCTGATGCATGTTGGTAGGAGGTCAGCGGGGGAGAATCTTGCATTGCCATTGCCTATGCCGTACTCTGTCTTCTCTGTATAAGAGCAAAGAATTTAATTCTCTGCTTTTGTTAATGACTCTTTTCACCTACATTAATGCTAAAGTTATTTAAAAAATAAATTAAATTGAATGAACAACTTCAAAGGAAGAGGCATGTTTTTTGCATAAAATAAATTACATGTTGACATGGATAATGCAGATATATAGATATTTTCATAGAATGTCATTTACAAAACATTGTATTGCTGTGACCATGCAGTTCTTCCTCAGCAATGTGAGGAAGGGGGTGGGAGATTTGCACTACTCTGCAATTATGTGGCTTGCAATATTCATTCTCCACCTACTGTAATTTCCACCTCTGAGTTCGCACCTGGTTCTTTACATTGGTGACATAACCACTCTTCCTCCAATCTATGCAGTCTGGGCCCTGATCCTGAATACTTTCTCGAGGCCAATCAACTGTAAGGTTATCCATTTCTGAGTCGGATACCCTGAGTCCTGTCATTGTAGCCGTTACTTCCTCAGATGTCTGTTAAAATAAAAATTAAAAAAGGAATAGAGTATATTAAATCAGTAACTGGTGCCCTAATTGGCCAACATTGTAGCAGTTGACAAATACATGGCAGAAACCGTCTAAGATTTAAACTGTAGATATACTATAAAGAGTGGCTGTGTAAAATGGCACCTCCTTATTCAATGGGGCTTGATCCAAAGCCCACTCCTTTAACAATTCTCTGCTCTTTTTACTTGAGGATCTCAAAGCACAGTGCAAAGGAAGGTAAGTATTATCCTCATTTTACAGGTGTCTAAGGCTACACAGCTATTCAGTGGCAGGATTGTTAACAGAATCTAGATCTCTTGATTCCCAATCCAGTGTCCTAGCCATTGAACTATGTTACTACCCTCTGCGCCCATGTACCTCCTCAGGATCATATTACTTTTGATCATTTACTTTTAAAAGTAATCAGAATACAGGTAACTAGTTAGTGTAATTAATTACACTAGCAATCCTGACCAAGGTGAGGGAAAATCTTTTTACAATTATTATTACTTCTTTAAAAAAAAAGAGCTTGAAATAATAACGCCTAGATTAAAATGTCACTACATAATTTGAGAACAAAGTAGCATGAGGAAATTTACCATGTCTGCAAAGCCATTCATGGCCATTGTGTATGAATGCATTCCCTTTGACTCTTCCAAGTTATGAACTGTAACAATTTTCAGGGTTTTTTCCCAGATCAAGCGCCTGGAAAGCTCTTCCTCCTGAAATAATGAAAGAAATGGGAACATTTTTTGGCCACAAAAATCAGGTTAATAAAAAATTAATTTTTTTGGCAGGATAAATTGTTTTTGTGATTATTTTCCAGTGGGAAATTTCCCAGTGAAACTACATTTTTTTGTTTAATTTTAAATAGAAATTTCATTTTGTTTTGTTTTTCTTCTAACATTTTCACTGTCTTTTCTTCTTTTTTTCCCTTATTACCACAATAAGATGAATAATGTATAGTTTGGGGGAAAGAGGACTCCCAAGTTTTCCTTTTTCCCTTTTCTACTCTAACATTTTAAACTTCTTCCATTTTACAACAGTTACATAATGGCAAAAGGAAAAATGAAATATGCTATTCTAGCTTTTCCAAAGTTAGAGAAGTTTTGCCAAGTTACAGAGTAGAGAAAGGAAAAAACGAAAGAGTAAAAAGTGGAAAGAAAAAAGATATCTTTCATTATTACATTCAGTCGCAAAAATAAATAAATAAATAGAGAAATAGAGAAAAGGGAAAAAACTAAAATCAGACGTTTCAAAAGTTTGACTAATTTTTAGTTTTTTTAAAACCACAACAAAAATCTCAAAATGAATCTGACACAATGAACATTTTTTGTTTCAAAATTTTCAGGTGACAAATTGAAAAATATCAAATGAATCATTTGAAATGAAAATTTTTCATAAGGCAAAAAATGGGTTCAGTTCTCATTAAATTGTCGAGCATGGACAATGTAATTACAATTTTTAAATATTGTGGAGCACTCTGCTTCTTTCTGGTAATTTCCATGGGCAGGAAATATACACCAGATTGAGAGTGAGTAAAGTTATTTTTTTCCTTACAGGAATTTGAGGAAATCAGATCAAAACATAATTGCTTTGGATGAAAAATATTAAGAATGTTTCTCTCCACTTGTGGTATAGTCCAAGAATGTAAATTAGCTTATTAGAAACACAAACTCGAGCTGCACTTTGTAGGCACATTGAAGCAACCTTCAGCTGGAAGTGTAAGTGACCCTTACCACAGTTCGGATATCACTAATAAATCGTTGTGGAGCTGCTCATGATCATATTTAATCCAGATATACCATGATGTTGAACATTTCAGTCTCCAGAACTCTATTCAGTTCTTCTGTTTGTCTTGGCCACTAAATTATTAACCAGTAAAAAGAATCAACCAGGTAGTAGTGGGTATGGTTCTGCCTATGAGTGTTTAGTGCAATATACCATAAAAATAAATATTTAGAATGCAAAGATAATTACCTCACTGCTGTACTGCTTTTGGTAGATTGTCTTCCAGCGTTCCCAGTCTGAATCAAGGGTAGGATCCTTGCCTATGTTGGCAACAGATGCTGCTACCAGAAGCAGTAAAACACTGCCCACTGTTAGCATCTTAAACTGCAAAAGATATAAAACGGATGTCATATAACACAATGTATTACTTTTTTCCCATCACAATCCAGGATCTTTGAAGAGCTCAAAGGAATGGCACAGGCACATAGCAGGTCCTGTGTCTGTGCCTATGCTTTCTCCCCACACAAATATGTATCCGGTGGGCCTGATTCTCCACTCCTTGCATCTTGTCATTTCCACATGTGCAGAATGTAAAATGTATACCAAAACAGAATTCTCCACTCACAGCCGTGGCATTGTGTAACACTCACATTGCGGAGGGGTAAAATGACAGCTATGGTGCAAGGCAGTGGAGAATCAGTTTCAATATTTAGAGAGAGTAGAACTTTCATGGTAAATTTACAGAATTGCAAAGTGTAGTGGTGGTGCCGTTGTCCCTTCCCCTCTGGGTCGGAGGGAGGCCACACCGCCTCACTTCGTTGTCGGGGCCTCCACCTAGTATCAGGGGAATTAGCATAGGCATTAGCGTCCTGTGCAGCCCACCGTCTAGGGTGCTCAGGCCCTACAAGCATGGACTGCGTCCACCTTAGTCTATGGCCTGGGGCCCTTGGGGCAGGGCCAACACTGGCATTAAGTCGCTCCAAACCCATCAGCCCAGGGCAGAGCAATCCCAGCAGTCAATTAGCTCTGGCCTCTGGAGGCAGAGATAGGTTAAACACAGAAATCACTCAGCTCTGGTCTGTTGGTGCAGAGACAGAGCAGCCTAGTAGTCAATTCGCTCTGGGCTCTCGTTACAGAACCAGAGCAAATCCAGGCATCAATCAGCCCTGGCTTCATGATACAGCCAAAAGCCCACCCAGCGGTCAATGAGTTCTGGGCTCTTGTAGCAGAGCCAGAACCAGCCAGCAGTTAATTAGCTCTGGGCTCTGGCAGCAGAGCCAGAGAAAACCCAGGGGTCAGGCGTCCTACCTCCAGCGGACGACCAACAAACCCAGGCTGCTGGACCTGACGAGGGGAGGCTGCCACCCCAGGAGTGGGGTGGCAGGTGGGGTCTGGTCCCACCCTACTCCACCGGTCCCCAACCCGGAGCCTTAAGAGTAGTGGAATGGTCCACCACTGAGTCAGAGGGATCCCAGCTACAACACGCTGATTGTCCCTCAGGTAGAGTGATAGCCAGACTAAGGTTGGCTGTCCCTGGGCCACTTCCTCCCCTCCCCTCGGGGTGTACCTGGAGTAGCCAGCCTCCTCTGGATAGGTGGCCCACTGCAGTCCTGACAGGTCTGTGGCAGCAGTAAGTTCACTGGGCTCAGCAGCAGGGTTGGTGGCCGGGAGCGAGCTGGGTCCGTCTGCCTCCTCTGGTGTCTTGGCCCCAGCTGAGCAGGAGGGAGGCCACACCACCTCACTACACAAACATTTTAATCAATATTTGAAATATTCCTCCAAACAGTCACAAATAATATTACTCTATGAAAACCAGTTAAGTATGCCCAGTATTTGTGAATCTGCTTTCCGATCATTTCCAACGTTTACTCCTAGATCTTTAAAAGAGAAGAGCAGCTATCATACTCACCACTGGACCCCCTTATTGGTTAAGACCAAGAACAGAATAAGCCATAGAAATTTAACCCCCCGCTTATCCCATGAGGTGCTCCCTCTGGGATAGCGTGGAGTCCCATTGAGCAGGGCAATGTGAAGGAAGCTCACTGAGTCGTTGTGTCTATTTTGTTATGGATAGGAGATGTCACTTCTGTCTTTGGGACTGTTGATCCTGCACCCTTCACTGCACTAAATGTACGAGGGGGCAGAAATAGAGAAAAACAGAGAAAGTAAGATAAGTCAATACACGTAGCATATATGCAAATTACCTGTTAAATTGCTGTGATCCTGAGACAGTACTCCTTCTTTGCACTTACGGACCAGGCTGAGGACAACAGAGCACAGACCAAGTTTACCAAGTCTGGATGTAGCAAAGGTTCTCGCGTGCTTTATAAAGTCAAGGATCCAGCGGTCAACTGGAGAAGTTCCCTATGCAGAGATTTCATTTTCTTTAAATGTGCTTTCTATCATGAAAACAGACTATTTCTTGCTCAAGACTTGTTTTGTAATGATTAAGCAGGCACAAAAACCAAGTGGAAGGGAACAAAAGCAGAACCCTTCCCATCCACTTTTGCTTCCCCCACTAATTCTACCCGGTTTGTGAGCAGCAGGTCAAGAAAAGCGCCCCCCCTAGTTGGCTCCTCTAGCACTTGCGCCAGGAAATTGTCCCCTACGCTTTCCAAAAACTTCCTGGATTGTCTATGCACCGCTGTATTGCTCTCCCAGCAGATATCAGGAAAATTAAAGTCACCCATGAGAATCAGGGCATGCGATCTAGTAGCTTCCGTGAGCTGCCGGAAGAAAGCCTCATCTACCTCATCCCCCTGGTCCGGTGGTCTATAGCAGACTCCCACCACTACATCACTCTTGTTGCACACACTTCTAAACTTAATCCAGAGACACTCAGGTTTTTCTGCAGTTTCGTACCGGAGCTCTGAGTAGTCATACTGCTCCCTTACATACAGTGCTACTCCCCCACCTTTTCTGCCCTGCCTGTCCTTCCTGAACAGTTTATAACCATCCATGACAGTACTCCAGTCATGCGAGTTATCCCACCAAGTCTCTGTTATTCCAATCACGTCATAGTTCCTTGACATCACCAGGACCTCCAGTTCTCCCTGCTTGTTTCCAAGGCTTTGTGCATTTGTATATAAGCACTTGAGATAACCTGTTGATCGCCCCTCATTCCCAGTATGAAGCAGGAGCCCTCCCCTCACAGACATTCCTGCCTGTGCTTCCTCCCGGTATCCCACTTTCCCACTTACCTCAGGGCTTTGGTCTCCTTCCCCCGGTGAACCTAGTTTAAAGCCCTCCTCACTAGGTTAGCCAGCCTGCTGGCAAAGATGCTCTTCCCTCTCTTCGTAAGATGGAGCCTGTCTCTGCCCAGCACTCCTCCGTCATGGAACACCATCCCATGGTCAAAGAATCCAAAGCCTTCTCTCTGACACCACCTGCCTAGCCATTCGTTGACTTCCATGATTCGACGGTCCCTACCTAGGCCTTTTCCTTCCACGGGGAGGATGGACGAGAACACCACTTGCGCCTCCAACTCCTTTATCCTTCTTCCTAGAGCCACATAGTCCGCAGTGATCCGCTCAAGGTCATTCTTGGCAGTATCATTGGTGCCCACGTGGAGAAGCAGGAAGGGGTAGCGATCCGAGGGCTTGATGAGTCTCGGCAGTCTCTCCGTCACATCGCGAATCTTAGCCCCTGGCAAGCAGCAGACTTCTCGGTTTTCCCGGTCAGGGCGGCAGATAGATGACTCAGTCCCCCGGAGGAGAGAGTCCCCGACCACCACCACCCGCCTTCTCCTCTTGGGAGTGGTGGTCGTGGAACCCCCAACCTCAGGACATAGCATCTCATGCCTTCCAACCAGTGGAGTCTCCTTCTGCTTTCTCGCCCCAGACATATCATCTGGTCCACTCTCCGCAACGATACCTGTGGAGAGAACATGTTTTGTTTCTTGACTTTAGCAAAGCTTTTGACACGGTCTCCCACAGTATTCTTGTCAGCAAGTTAAGGAAGTATGGGCTGGATGAATGCACTATAAGGTGGGTAGAAAGCTGGCTAGATTGTCGGGCTCAACGGGTAGTGATCAATGGCTCCATGTCTAGTTGGCAGCCGGTATCAAGTGGAGTGCCCCAAGGGTCGGTCCTGGGGCCGGTTTTGTTCAATATCTTCATAAATGATCTGGAGGATGGTGTGGATTGCACTCTCAGCAAATTTGCGGATGATACTAAACTTGGAGGAGTGGTAGATACGCTGGAGGGGAGGGATAGGATACAGAAGGACCTAGACAAATTGGAGGATTGGGCCAAAAGAAATCTGATGAGGTTCAATAAGGATAAGTGCAGGGTCCTGCACTTAGGACGGAAGAACCCAATGCACAGCTACAGACTAGGGACCGAATGGCTAGGCAGAAGTTCTGCGGAAAAGGACCTAGGGGTGACAGTGGACGAGAAGCTGGATATGAGTCAGCAGTGTGCCCTTGTTGCCAAGAAGGCCAATGGCATTTTGGGATGTATAAGTAGGGGCATAGCGAGCAGATCGAGGGACGTGATCGTTCCCCTCTATTCGACATTGGTGAGGCCTCATCTGGAGTACTGTGTCCAGTTTTGGGCCCCACACTACAAGAAGGATGTGGATAAATTGGAGAGAGTCCAGCGAAGGGCAACAAAAATGATTAGGGGTCTGGAACACATGACTTATGAGGAGAGGCTGAGGGAGCTGGGATTGTTTAGTCTGCAGAAGAGAAGAATGAGGGGGGATTTGATAGCTGCTTTCAACTACCTGAAAGGGGGTTCCAAAGAAGAGGGATCTAGACTGTTCTCAGTGGTAGCAGATGACAGAACGAGGAGTAATGGTCTCAAGTTGCAGTGGGGGAGGTTTAGATTGGATATTAGGAAAAACTTTTTCACTAAGAGGGTGGTGAAACACTGGAATGCGTTGCCTAGGGAGGTGGTAGAATCTCCTTCCTTAGAGGTTTTTAAGGTCAGGCTTGACAAAGCCCTGGCTGGGATGATTTAACTGGGAATTGGTCCTGCTTCGAGCAGGGGGTTGGACTAGATGACCTTCTGGGGTCCCTTCCAACCCTGATATTCTATGATTCTATAACCCTTTGGAACTGAAAGCATTTAACTGAACGCAACCTCTCACATCAGGATTGAGGCACTTTGCTAGGGGCCACAGTGGGAGATGCTTACAGTGCCACTGCCTTGTCTCTCTCACCAACGGAAGTTGGTCCAATAAATGATACTACCTCACCCACTTTGTCTCTCCAGTTTTACACTTCAGTTTTTCTACACTAAACCAAGAACTTCACCCTCCAAGTTATGCATCTGACACTTTTCAACTACATTATCACTAGATTTGCTGAAAAACACATTAAATAAAGGTTTCAGAGTAGCAGCCGCGTTAGTCTGTATTCGCAAAAAGAACAGGAG